TGGGGGGTGTGGATATTTGGGGTCTGGGGTCTCTGGGGCCGGGTCCGTGAGTGGGGGTGCGGGTGGGGTTCGGGGTGGGTGTCGGGGGTGCAGAGTGGGAGAGGCCCCACAGCCCCCCCGCCGTGCTGCGGTCTGGGGGGGCTCTGCGGCGGGGACCCCCCGTGTCCCTCTGTCCCCCACGCGTGTCCGTATGTCCCCCACACGTGTCCGTCATTCACCCACGTGTGTCCCTCTGTCTCCAACGCGTGTCCCTCTGTCTTCACGCTTGTCCGTCTGTCACCCACTCGTGTCCCTGTGTCCCCCCCTCCCGTGTCCCTCTGTCCCCACACGTGTCCCTCTGTCCCCGACCCACACGTGTCCCTCTGTCCCCCCTGTGTCCGTCTGTCCCCACGTGTGTCCGTGTGTCCGTCTGTCCACAAGCGTGTCCGTGTGTCCCCACACGTGTCAGTGTGTCCCTCTGTCCCCACGTGTGTCCGTGTGTCCCAGACCCACGCGTGTCCGTGTGTTCCTCAGTCCCCACGTATGTCCGTCTGTCCCCACGCGTGTCCGTCTGTCCCCACGCGTGTCCGTGTGTCCCCACGCGTGTCCGTGTGTTCCTCAGTCCCCACGCGTGTCCGTGTGTCCCCACGCGTGTCCGTGTGTCCCCAGGGCAAGCCGTATGTCTTTGACCGCGTGTTCCCGCCGAACACGACGCAGGAGCAGGTGTACCGCGCCTGCGCCATGCAGATCGTCAAGGGTGAGACGGGATAACCGGGGTAACCGGGGTAACCGGGATAACCGGGATAACCGGGATAACTGGGATAACCGGGGTAACCGGGATAACCGGCATAACCGGGATAACCAGGATAACCGCGGTAACCGGGGTAACCGGGGTAACCGGGATAACCGGGGTAACCAGGATAACCGGGCTAACTGGGATAACCGGGATAACCGGGATAACTGGGATAACCGGGATAACCGGGATAACCGCGGTAACCGGGGTAACCGGGGTAACCAGGATAACCGGGGTAACCGGGATAACCGGGATAACCGGGATAACCGGGGTAACTGTGGTAACCGCGGTAACCGGAGTAACCAGGATAACCGGGATAACCGGGATAACCGGGATAACCGGGATAACCGGGGTAACCGGGATAACCGGGATAACCAGGATAACCGGGATAGCCAGGATAACCGCGGTAACCGGGGTAACCGGGATAACCGCGGTAACCGGGGTAACCAGGATAACCGGGGTAACCGGGATAACCGGGATAACCAGGATAACTGGGGTAACCGGGATAACCGGGGTAACCAGGATAACCGGGGTAACTGGGATAACCGGGATAACCGGGATAACTGGGATAACCGCGGTAACCAGGGTAACCGGGGTAACCAGGATAACCGGGGTAACCGGGATAACCGGGATAACCGGGATAACCTGGATAACCGGGATAACCGGGATAGCCGGGATAACCGCGGTAACCGGGATAACCGGGGTAACTGGGGTAACCGCGGTAACCGGGGTAACCAGGATAACTGGGATAACCGGGATAACTGGGGTAACTGGGATAACCGGGATAACCGGAACAGACCGGGACAGACTGGGATACACCAGGACAGACTGGGATAACTGGGGCAGCCCGGGACAGCCCGGGATAGTTTGGGGACAACCCGGGGATAACCTGGGATAACCCGGGACAGTCTGGGGACAGCCCGGGACAGTCTGGGGACAGCCCGGGGATAACCTGGGATAACCCGGGACAGT